TGCATAAAAGCTGGAGACATGACTGTGTGACTCCGCGGCGGCAGTCTTTGACCTAGGCACTCTTTCCACGCGGGTCTTGTCCCCGAAGACGTTCAACTTGCTGCCGGAGAGATGCTGGACGAGCTTTTCCGTAGCCTTGGAAAGCTCGCCAACAATCAAAAGCTCGCAGGGTGCAATATGCAGCAACCTCGTTTCGATTTCACTCCTCATGAACCCGTCTTCGAAGTCGTCATAAACAATATCTCCTGTAGCCGGCTGGACAGCAACAATTCCCACTTGAACCTTCTCATCATTCCCCCAGCCCTTTGCATTTGTCTCGGTAATGCACAGCAAGTAGCCGGTTGCTGGTGAGGCGCCACCAGATGCTGCAGGCATAGGCCCTTCTAAGCCTTCCGCGTCGTCGATATAGGTACCCTTGGTGTACAAGTTTGTGAGTTTGCGCACGAAAGGCGCATTGCGGTTATCGCCCGCTGCTTTCAGAGCAGCAGTCTCGATTTGTCTCACCACGCCGACCTTATGACCTGCGGCAACGAGGCGCTTTACATGAACGTGTAATCTGTGAACCGGTATGCTAGCGGAGGCGAAACGATCGAGGTGTGCTTCAGAAGGATCTAGAATCGACAAGACCTACGTTAGGCACGATTCACTAATAAAGTAGGAGATGGAAAGGAGGCGACGGAACCATACTCACGTTCGTCAAATCTTAGTTTTCCAGGGATACAGACTATAGACAACTCCTTTGCGGCGACCCTCGCATCTTCACCAAAGAATCGGAACTTGTAGCCGACTTCAACTACTAGGACGGTATCCATATGCTTGCGCTTGATCTCGATGACCTGTTTCTCCATTGGAGTGAGCTTGCTTCCACCTTTCTTTGCAGCAGCTTTGCCCTTGGCAGGAGGAGGTGGTGCTGCTTCCTCCTCATCTTCGGCCTCAGCCCCCTCCTCGGGTGTAGCTTCGCTGATAGCATTTCTACCAATGCCAATGAGACAGTCCGCACCACCCAATTTTCGAACGAACTTCTGGTGTAACGCTTCTCTCTCCTTCTGTCTTTGTCTAGCCTCGAGTTCACCTGCCGCCTGCGGCCCTTCCGCTCCAGTGTTCACCGCCGGTGAGCTGCTGAATTTGAATATCTCAGTCCTCTGGCTACTAGTCAACGCCGGTGGTCTCTCTGTAGTGGATGTTGAGTTCGGAACCTCTTCTTTGCTTGAGAGGTGAAGGCCGTTTGTTCTAGCTCTTTTAGGGGCCGGTACCACTATATCATCCTCCTCATCATCGGTCAGGGCGGTATCTTTCTTTGGCGCTCGTTCCTTATTGTCCGCTTCCTCGGGGGTTGTAGCCGGGTTTTTCTCTTCAACGACATTGACTGGAGCAGGTTGAGCTGTTTGTGGTTTCTTCGTGAAGAAGCTCGCGAGGGTTGACTGCTTCCGCTTCACTCCCGGTGACGAAGAAGTCTGTGATGAGGGAAGAGGCATTTTCTCTTTGTGATCGAAACCACTGACAGTCGCCGAGGCAAATGATCTTAGCAACACCGAGGGGAAAGGGTTCGCGGTGGCGGTAGCGCCTGCTGGTCGCGCCCTAGAGTCCGATAACAACCTAGGACCTCAGTGTTCATATGTCAGACATCAATCAAATCGCATCAAACGGTATCCGGAGCCAAAGTATTCGCCTTAGCGTCAAATGGGTATCCGCGGGTCGGGGACCTTGACGCGTGGAGGAGCTCCGTCACGCCCGTCACGCGTAGTTCCCTTAATTGCACTTGAAGATGATATAATCTTAATGCCTGAGGCAGATTCGACCACTGAACTACTTCGAGGCATCGAGACTTCTTTCTAGACGGAGTATACACTTTCTCCCTCCTCGTCCCCCTGTCTTTCTCTTGGTGTAAGCATGATGTTGTTGGAGTTATTATACATTATAACATACTAGTATACAGTGTCAAGGGGCGTCGTTCGACAGTCAATGTATAGCGACTACCATTGAGTTTGACCTCAATGCCGTACTCACCACCCAAGTATTCATACCACGTAACGGGAGTGTTTGTATATTAGACAATGCAAAGAAAGCTACAAAGCCATGTCACTGTTGGTTCCGAAGTCGACTAAGATTGTGCAAGGGCCATATAAAGATATAGTTCGACCCGCAGAAACCGAACTCAACTCAGGCCACACAGACGAGGACCAGAACTTAGAACGAGCTCCCGTCCAGGTAAAGTCGGCCAAACTCGCTTTCATCAACGTCTGAAATTGTTGACTCGGGTGAGCCAAGCTGTGGTTCATACTGGTTGTTCGATCTAAGCTCTGGTTTTGGAGTATACATTGGACCATCGTCAGCGGGCAACCCAGAGAGTGAAACGGCCAAAGGGTTGAACGAGTATCCAGTGAGGCTTTCCTGGTTATCGAACGATCTGAAGCCGACTGGTCGAGGATCTCTAAAGAAGTACTGCGGTGGGTAACAGATTCCGCTGGTCAAATGTTCCGTAAGGGAAGGGGACTGCCAGTCCATCAGAGGATCAATGCGGCCACGAACATCCAGGAGTGGTTCAATGTTCTCCTTGTCCTTGGTCATATCGTGCGCTCGTCCAGCCACTGCGGTAGATTGGTCACCAGGTGATAGTGGATAAGCATCATGATGAAGTGTGAAATCCTTGAGGAGGTATAGAGGATGGGAGGGAGCCGACGCCACAGCATGAGTTCCATCATCACCATGTTTATGATCCATAGAACCGACATTACACTGACTTGGTCTATCGTGAAAGACTGTAAATCCAGTGCGAGGTTTTAGCTTTGTCCCTCTGAAGGATAATTCAAATTCGTCCATGTCATCCCCGCGACTGCCATATCGATGCAGCCGCTGAGGCCCTAGGGATCCCTTGGGAATTTGTGTGTCTCTTCCTCTTGTATCTCTATCCACCAGTTTCTCAATGCGCTTGGTAGTCCTTCTGGTTCGTTTCCTACTTTGCCCACGTTGGATATTGGGATCAACTTGGGAGAGGACTCTTTTGGGGCGATTTACTCGACGTTTGGGAACGGGCGTCTCCCCTTTGAGGGGGCTGCTGTCCTCAACATTACCTGAGATCACACGCTGCTTCCGTAAAATTCCGGTAGGGGAAAAGACAAGCTCTGTTGGCTCCACACAAAGGGACGTCTTTTCCATGAGCTTCAAGATGCTTTCGTCCTTCTTCTGATTGCGTCTGCGTCTCATCTGTTCGGTAGCCGAGTCAAATATATCCATTCCAGGCCACAGCACACCCTTCAGTCTAGCTATCTCATCTGCTCTTTCCTTCTCCATCTCATTGATGGTGGGAAAATAAATGCTGTCAGTTTCATTATCGTCGACAAATGGATCGCAGCTGTACTGGTCGGATGGCTGAGGAGCCACGTCTGCTTCGTTATCCGATGCCTTCGCCCAGTACAATGCGGTTTGCACGGGGACGTCCTCGTCCTTCGCCCTTTGCAGTGGTTCTTGCTTCCAGGGGCTGCAAAGAGCCGGTAATGTCTTTGTCGATGAGGTTATTGGGGCCAGCGAGTGGTCTTCCAGTCCAGGGTAAGTATGCGTGAGATTATAAGACGGGTCACTAGAAGCGGCATTGGCTGAAGAGTATGGTGTGTTCGTGTCCTCAGTCTCAGGTTCCGCAATGACATACGAACGAGAGAGACGCGGGTCCAGATAATCAGGCAGTGGGTTCTGGAATGAAGGACTTGCAGTGGATACTGGCAGTGTAGCATTATCAGTCTCGCTCTCCGTATATGACTTCTCGTGTATCTTTTTCTTGCGGGCTTCTTTCGAGGACATCCGATCTGAAAGCAACTTGGCCAAGTTGTTTCTCTTATACCATCGGTCATATTCATGTAGCAAGGCTACTGCTTGCTGCTCTTGATGACTGCGTACTTGAAGTTTGAAATAGTGGGACAAGTGAGCCTTTGACGAGATATGGGTAAGCAAGTGCGATACATCGCTGAATGTGGGCCGCTTTGGGCAGATATTGCACAAAAGTGCAGCTGCATCCATTTCGGAAAGTGGTGTAATAGGGACCGGCTCCTGATTTTGAAAACAATATCGAAGGAAACAACAAGGAGGAGTTTCTATCAACAACAGATGTGATAAGCCGGCCTCGGAAGGAGAGGATGAGGCGCTCCAGAAGAAAAGGCGTTACAGGAAGATGGGGGACCTGCCCGGCTGACTTTCTCGCTCTTATTCCACAATTGGAGAAAGAGCTACCAAGACCAGCTTTCTCCAGGCAGGCATGTATCAATACAGTAAGCCAACCGATTGATCATAGTTGACACTCATACTTACCAATTGGAAGACCTCTATTTGGGGGATCTCAATGGGCGACGCCAATACAAAATAACTGAAATGGTAGAATTTGGTCAGTACTAGGTAGTAGTTGCTACAGTAGTTTCGTTTATGTGGGTAGGTGGAACACAGTACTTCAGCATAGACACGGAAAACGTATCTATGTATGATACACAGTCCTATTGTCAATCACACAATTCATAGTTTCGGTGCAATCGGTGTGAGAGGCACCACCGTTAGCCAATTTGGCATTACATCTATATTCTATAAACTAGTACTACGTCCGAAGACTGGGATACTATGAGCCAGTAACTAAGTTAGCAGAGTACTACTAGTAGTACCGCCTATTGAACTACTACACACTACCACTATTGGCGCCATATATATATCTTAGTGGCCGTTCTGGGAGCCCGAGCTTTACTACTGGGATTTTGAAAACGTGCGTTCCTATATATGTATAATTAACTAGCAGTAAAGAAAGGGCCACGAATCGACCAACGTCTCAGTAAAGATAAACCTATGCTATGTGGCTAGTAAACATTATGATGGCCATGGCAATTTTGTGGTTGCAGACCAAACGGACGGCATGCGTTTAGCATCTGGCAACTTAATATAAGAAAGCATTGGGTGAATTATGGCTACGATGCAGACACTAATCACTTCGAAACATTATCAGTCATCTCCAAGGATACAATAAATTTCATTCATCTTTCATGTTGATTAACTGGCTACTTTATATCTTGACTATAATTACGGTTCATGTGCCACTGTGTCTTAACAGCCTTTCCGTAAGGCTATTGTGAGGGGGTATGAAGCGGAAATAAGTCACAGTGCCAATCACTCTTCTCCTGCCTTGTATCCCATAATCCATGGAGAAAAAGAAAAACGGGTTATTAGATTGCAGGAGGTGAGGCCTACGTCAGGAAAAAATACTCAAGAGGTGATGTCATCATACAGCCAAAGATTACCGTTGCAGATATTTCTGTGTAATTGCCTTCGGCATACAACTAAGCGAAAAGGTTAGCCATCCGCAAATTTGCATTGCACAGGTTGCATAACTCACTAGACTGGATCTACTTCTTGGATGCCATTGAACTTCAACAGACTCAGACCAGCGATGGCAAAATGGGTGTGAAACACATCAACCATGCTGCCTGGTCTGTCTCCGATGCCTCCAGCCTCCGAATCCTGAACTGCGTCAGTGCCATGCCGGCAATGCCATGGCGAAAGGGATAACATACCTGACAGCGCAAGATGAAAGCAGAGAGCTTGCCACCATCGATCCAGTGGAGTTTGTCGATCATAGCCAAGCTCGCACCAACCCACCAGCTATAGCATGCATCGGGCAGTTTCTCGGGCCTTCCGTTCAGACCACCATTTTCAACCTGTCTTTCGCTGAGCCAGCCCCCAAGACGGTCCTTGTTTACCAAGTCCAGTCGTCCGGCGATTGCCAGAGCTCCTACGCAAGTGAAGATTTGACCGGCATGTGACTCAGCTCCAGGTTGGATGCCATAGCCACCGTCCAAGTTCTCACACTGCTGGACATAGGAAATGGCCTTGGGTACATCAACTGTGTGAAGAAGCCCAAGAAGGGAGAGTGCATTGAACGCGCCATACAGAAAGCGTGTATCTCTCTCACCCCATTCATCACCCATGAAAGCGCCAGTGTCTTTGTCCTGTAGCCCTGCGATAAACGAGCCAACCTTCTCCTTTCCTCCTAGACCGCGCTTCTCCAGCTCATCCACCGCATCTAGGGTTACGAGAATTTGCACTGCCGACACTGTGTACAGCATGTGTGCATCATGGCCCGGAGCTGCTCCGAAGCCTCCATTCTCCCGTTGACACGAGAGAACGAAGTCAATGGTATCTTCACGAGGAAGGACATCGGGACGGCCAAGGAGATGTAGAGCTGTCAAGCCCCAATACACCCCATTCAGGCGAAGGTGTTCTGTAAGCCAATATTCTAGCTCATCCCTCCTCTAGCATCACCTGTCAACCATCTTCCCCATCATGAAGAGAAGAACCATGGTTATAGTAAGAATGACGCACGCTGTCCAAGTTCTTGATGTAATCCACATGTCTTTCGACACTAAGGTTCAAGCTGGATTCAGTCCCAGCAGCCCTACCAGGACCCGAAACTAAGGACATTTTTGTAATCGGATTGCTGAAAGCAGTGTGATTAGTGGATGAGCCTCGGACTAGTCAAGAGCTTTCCTGCTCGCGCTAGAAAGGTAGCCTTATGCGCTGTCCCGACCAAGGCCACGAAGCTTGTGCCTGCCAACACAAGGGCGATCAAGGCGGAGAAGCAGGCTCGAAGCTTTGGGGGGTGGCAAACACAGGGTCGTCAAGGGAGGCAACCGCTGCACGTGTCCCCCTCACTGCAGGTGAGGTTAGTATGAGGTGTCTTTGGAGGTTAGTCGTGGACGACTTGGGAAGCTGGGAGGAGGGGGGAAAAAGCAAGCTTCGGGGAAAAAGTGTGTGTGTGGTGGAGGGCGGTTGGTGACGAGAGGGAGGGCTGACCATCACGTGATCAAACGCCACCGGGAAAGCCGCTGGGCCAAAAAGCGGGGCCCATTGTTTCAGCCTGGCGTTTAGGGCAGGATCGCCGTCTCCCACGGACAGCGGTGTGAAACCCCTGAGCGCCAAAGACTGCTTGCCCCTGGGTCCCTGCTCGCTCTGAAATGTTCGGTGGCTGGCCCTTGTGCCGATGCCATGGAGGCCGGGCTCCCGCGTCCCACTCTGTTCTAAGTACAAAGTAAGTTGGTGGCAATGTCAATCAAATTTGTCAAATGCATGTAAGTCCAAGGTAGGCAGGTAGTATCGAAAGTTTCTACCGAGCGTAAGAGGGATCCTTGTGTGATGATGAGCATCAGGTGCAGAACTGCAGGTCTGAATGGGGAATGTGGGTTCTGTCTTCTCTACTCCGATAGTACTAGCTAGGCATAATTACGTAGTGCCGGGCTATTGACTCGGTATGGCGTAGTAGTCATATGAGTCTTTCATTGTCCCACGTGTAATTGAAGTAGTATGCCGTCGACTAAACTAGATACTACTATGTATATATTTTAGTAGATTATCTAGGCTCCAGGCAGAAATCGCTAAACGGGGCAACGCCCATAACGCTTTCGCATAAGTGCCATGAGGTGCATGACCCTCAGCAGTCCACATTGATGATAAGTCCCATTTAAATATCTTATGTCAAAAGCAGCTAGTTGTCCTGGAGGACTAAAGCGGTAGGGGGAGCACGCTACCTTTGCTAACCGGAAGGGTTGAGTTGATTACTCCACCACTGCAACAAAGCGCTAGACCACCAGAGGTGGGAAGCCGCGTGCTCTTTGTGGCAGCGTATAATGCTCCGTGGAATTACCGGAATATACTTCACACATGGAAGCGCCAAAGTATGTTTTGTTTTCAGCCCAGCATTGCTTACAAAAAGGAGCGCATTTTTCAAATGACAGTTCCAGGGTCGTAAACCTGCTCTCCAGGGCTCTCTTGCTTTCTTTTTCCTTCCCCTTGTCTATATTTAGCCATCCGGAATGTACCGTACATAATAAGAGGCACAACCAGAAAGTGTAGACATTTGGTGCTATAAATGTCATTGGTAAAGCGGGGCAATAAGACAATGATAACCATTATTCATTCGTTCAACGGTGCCTAGAAAGTCAGTAGTACCTGGGTACGGGCTACACTATCCAGGCACCAAGTACGCATTAATTCCTCTTTTCCCTATCATCCCCACTGGCTGTATCAAATTTGTCTTGACTGAACCATGGTTGATCACCCATACAGCTTCAAGAATCAGACCACTTGCTGGGAGGTTCAATATTTAGACATATTTATTTTGGGATTTATACAATCAGACACTTTGTGAACAAACATCTCATTTTTGTTTATTTTATGTTATTCTCTCACCATGAAGACTTTGGGAACAACCCACACAACAATAGCAGCCGTCTGCGGAGCCGACAAAATACTTTTAGTGCCATAGGACTCTTGGACTACTGCATACTAAGCAGCCAGATAAGGTGCCACTCAAATGCTGTGATGGGCCTCCGCGTCAGGTACTCGTGTCTCCCGGGTGCTTCTGATTTGGCCCTGCGACTGAAGCCCCGTCCACAGGACCTTGGTTGGCCAATCCACGGTCGCAATGGCTGTCTCTTAGACCGGGCATGCATCATCCCGCCCAAGGCACCAACTGCCAGACCCGATCTTTTCTGGCCAGTCATTGTCACCGCTTCGAGTGTTTGGATGGGTCCGTCCGATCTTTCGGTGTATATCCCAATGGCCTGTACTCCGTCCACGCAGGAGGTGGCCATTGCAGCCCCGGGGTTGCCATCATCACAAGGGTTATTGCGCAGTAGCGTGTTCAGGGGCAACCAACCGACAGGCACGAAAGATAACTACCTATGTACACTTTGTGTAGTCTACCTACCATAACGAAATTGCTGAATCTTCCAAAAAACATTTTCTTCTCTCCTTCTCTTGCCTTTTCTCTTTCTTCTCGATGGTAATGAAATAACTGCGAATTATATAGCGATTATATAGCAACAATATACTTTGTAGTCAAGAGTTAATTTTTTGAAGGTGGATTTGACTTTCCTTTCGGACAGCCTCTCGATTTTCTCCCCCATGGGAAGTTTAACCTTTCCAGTTTGCCCCCCCTCTCTTCCCCCAGCTGTAAGGTACTTGGGTAATTCGGTGACTATTGCAGATATTAACCCATCAATACGTGGGTTGGACCAACGTCATCCTCCTGGTACCAGCCACGAGTTCCTTTCCCTTTTTAACCTCTATCCCTCAAATTTGGTTTAGGGTGCTTCATCAATTCTTCACTTGATATTTTTCTTGGATTATTATTATTATTATTACTTTTTTTTTTTTTTTTTTTATCTATTGCCTACCAATACAGATTCTGGCTCTTGACTTGAAGTTTGAAACTATCGATCAGTAAGAGAATCTCTTCCAGCATTCATTCTTCAGAAAGGGAGTAACATGCTAAACCGTCCTTACCTGTTTTAATTACAGACATTATCCACTATCCTCTTTTTTTTCTCATTACTATTATTTTATTCCCTTCCCAAGAATCCAAGGGCAATCCATCCACCTGCCACTTATCTGGTTGTCTGTGCACTAAAACGATAGGCTTTCCATAATCCCATAAGCACTCTGAAGCCACCCAGTAACTATTTCGGAGCCTTGCAACGCTATCTCCACTACCGACTCCCCCCTTAAAAAAAAACGGAGGCTTCTTAGCCTGACACACAGCCGCGCTTGCATAACACCGTCCAGGAATGTGTCGTCGCTGCGACATTCAAGTCTGAACACCTCCAACACCGTGCGGACTCGCGCTCTCGTGTTTCTTTGATCGCTATTACCACTTCTTGGGGGAACCCCGTCAAGCGGACGCAAATTCTTTGTTCTTCCCTGTCCCTGTTCCTGTTCCCTTTATTTTTATTCCTTTTTAGCATCTTCATTATCGCTTTGGGATTAGCTAGCAAATTCGCCGACACCTACTCGTCCCCTTGGTACGCCGACCGCCCTCTTCAACACCGCTCAGACACACAAATCGAGAATCTTAGGCGAGCGTCTATTTTTTTTTTTTTTTGGACCACCTCTGTCACCACATTTAAGTCACCAGGAGCAACAGTTGGCATCGCTGTTCGGTCGAAATTGTCGTGGGAGGGGATAAGTAACAACCGGAGGGGGAGTCTCCATCTAACATGAGGGGCGGCGCAATCTGGTATGTGTGTGGTGACTTTATTTTTTTTTTCTTATTCAAGTCAAATCCTCAATCGACTGTTCACTATCTGCTCCCCTCAAGAGAGCTCATTTGCCCTGAGACTGCTAGCTATTCTTAGGGGAATGGTGTTTCAATTCTCTTCCCTGGGGTGTAGTAGCTTTATCCAACAGATCGCTACCCATGATTCTGTATCCAGTGCACCGTCTCCCCTGCCGTTGAATCTCTCAGGAACGCGTCTTGAACTTCCATCTAGCTAACCACTATGCGACTCTACATTAGAACCATCGCCCCGACATATCCTTGCAGAAAAGCAACAGCCCCCCTTCAACTGTGCTCCGCGAGTCCAATATATCCGGAAATATTGGCCAAGGCTGGTCCGGTTCCAATCATTTTTTATCAATATTCATACACCACTCAAATATCGGGTATTCGCATTTCTTTTGCCAAGGGAGCGCTAGGATATTTATGCTCCCCGAGACCAATTCTTCGTGGCTCTCTATTTGAAAAGGAGTAAGTTCTAGAATCAGGAGCTTTGCCGGGAGCCGGATCATATCCAAATTTAGCACCATCAATGAGACCTTATGGATGCTAACCTGTTTTCGCCCCTAGGTCCTTTTTCATCGTCCACTTGGTGTCGCAGCCGATCCTTGACGTACTACTATTTTTCCTCAGCCCAGACCGCGTTCCCGGTTCAACTTTTCAGGGTCACCTGCTGACCCGCGATTGACACCTAAGATGCCATCGAGACAGTCCACTGTTCCGAATTTAGATCTTAGCACTTCCACTCTGCAGGCGGATGCGAAGATCTCGTCTCCACTGACTCCCGGTGCCCAAAGCTCCGAGGGGCCAAGTCCCCTGACACCCCGTTCCCCCAAGTCATCATCGAGCTCGCCCTTTTTCAAAGGGGCCACTATCAGACCCGTCACACAAGAATCAAACAGCAAGTCGAGTAGCCCTACGTTCCCAGCAACCTCTCCGGGTATTGCCCCTGCAGAACCAGCTACTCCGGGTATCACGGCTATACCCCAGTATCCTCCTTCCCCGAAGGACACCCCTAAGCACACGCGTGATCAGTCACGCTCTTTCTTTGCGAACCTCAAAGCACCAAAGTCATCACATAGGGCCCAACGTTCGGATAGCTCAGGGAATTCGGGCGAAAAGCCCAAGAGCCGCGGTAGTTCCAGAGATCGCAAGACTCAGATCTCAACAAAACTCTACGAATCAACTCCTGATCTGCCAGGCGCCATTGAGCGGGCAGCTCAAGAAGAGAATCGTAAGTGAATACGTCGAGCCATACATCTGTCTCGTGCGCTGACAAGTCCATCCAATAGGTGGTGATCGTGCTGAGGAGAAGTGTCCCCAACCAGCAGAGGTGAAGAAGGTGGGTACGGAGTCGGACGCCTTCAAT